CTCTGACACCTAGATGTCTCAAATTAGCAAACGCGGCCCGAGCCTTGCAGATGTTAGTATGTCTGAATAGGATGAAATATCGATCTATTTCGCTCCCTCGGTTGGACTAAAGCGTCGTCTGATGGCCTATCCAGCCAAAGTCTCAAGTACTACGAGGAAAGAAATGGCGATATCTCATAAATCGTCTTCTCTTTATTGCCATCCTGGTATGAATCGGATACTGGACTTCTTAGCTGGCCCACTAGGTGTTTCAGTCCGTAAACACTGAGCTACTTTGCTCACTTGGAAGACCAGGTAGATGCGACTGGATTCTTCATACAAAGTAATCGCGCAATTGAACATACCGTTTGCAGAATGGCCTCTTGCGGATTGACAACCTGAAGAGCAGTAGAAGAGAAACCGGCTTGGACGGCGACCGATTGGAATATGCGCTGCAACATGGCCTGTGGGTTCCTGTGTCAGGATAGAAAAAGCGGATCGGAAAATGGACTGACTGATGGTGAGATAAGTGGAAGACAGGATAGGGGGAAATTGGTGTCGATAGTAAGGTGCTTTTCACGGGAAGTCGCACACTGATACACCACCAAACTTAAACGAAAGAGTAAGCATACATACAAGAAGGAAGTGGACTGCCGAAGATTTTCAGCAACCTTGTGAGTAGTTTCCTTCATGAAAATATACTGCGATATCTCGACTATCGTGCCAACTGAAACATGAAGTGGCCTGTGTGCAGCACATTCAAGTGCAGAATATCATAAACGAGGGATTCAGTTGAGTCTCTCGTGAAAACCAAATTGATTTGCAAATGAGTGTATTTCTCGATGAGCATACATACACTTTACTGACTGATTTACATCGGTCAATAAGACTCCGAATTGACAAATAAAATGAAGCAAACATGCAGTCGTTTCCGGTGTCACAGAGCCAAACTTTGTTAACTTGTTGAATATTTAGGCACATTCTTTCGACGAAATCCAGCTGGAACAAAACTTAAACCTTCCCACCAGCAAGTATTCATTTTATGCTTGCGGTAAAGTTGGAACTAGATTTCTGGCCAAGCAGAGCAAAGAATGAATAGCTCCTAGGCAACTTGCGACAGTGCCAGGTTGCATACGATTGCTCAGTCGCCGATCTTGAACCATACTGATACTGAGATCAGGAGTCCGAGTTGTGACACCTGTTGATCAAAACTGAACGCGAAAGGTTTGTGTACCAAGCCGTTTTTGGTAAGCAGACTGGTATGTACATTCATTTAGCTATGTGAATGAAATTCATCCTTGAGAAGACTACATGTTAAAAAAACTACAAAAGAGCGAATGTGTAGGCAGTTGATCGACCGTTCCTTTCCTGGGCACCAGAGCTATATTTATCATGCTCTAGAAATCAGCCACCTTTCTGATGAGACACTGATTTAGCAGAGTTGTGACCTGATCGTTGAGGATGTCCGCATGTAATTTCAGGGCAAGCGGCGGCAAGGCATCGCAACCACAAGCTTTGCTCGATTTTCGCTGCAGCACCATCCCCTGCACAGTCTTTGTTGCAAATCTAGCCTACGTAGATTACGGAAACGTCCAAAAGTGTCACGCCTGTAGAGTGGGGACCGGGCTTGTCCAGATCAACGCAGTCTGAACAACACTCAAATCCATTAACACAGAGTTCTCCACCGAACAAGATGTTGATACAAAATCCCGTTCAGTCGACTGATTTCAGTCTCTGTTTGTCCTAATCGTCCCTCGTTTTCCGTGCTTCTGTCTCTAACGTCCACCAGAGATGACTTAGTAAGGAAGAAAATCAGTTGTTTCGACAGGACAATGCATGTCAAAACACAAATTCGAAAAGCTGGTCACGTGCTCACCCTGCACTGAAGAATGGGAGAAAACTCTCAGGAATCTGAGAACATTGCTACCAGCGGCAGATGAGAAGCACACACGAAACTGATCAAATCGTGGCACGATGGTTTGATTTTGCGTGGAAAAAGAGTTAGAAGGAAGTGCGTTTTTGTGCCGCAATTAGGTTAGTGTTATTCGCAGACATATGGTCATGTTGGGCGCCATGCCCTGTAGGGGAACTTACTGTATGTTTCGAACGAAGGGGGCTTTGGAAAACAAGTCTGATATGTCCAGACAACCCGACAAAGAATCCGGTAAAGCAAGCAGTCGAATAAGGAGTCAGGAAATTCAGTGAGCTCCGAACCTCGAATAATGTGGACAATGCATGTGGCTGCAGATAGGACCAACTAACAATAAATCGAGCTTGCAATCTACGGATAGAGGGGTGTACTCCGCAGTGAGGTTAAAATGACTGCAATGTACCGACGGCGCTTACTGCTCAACTACACCGGAGATGATGACGAATCTATGGCGGACGGTTAACAACAAACAAGTCGTAATAATCTATCGCGCGATGCTCTATTATCAAAGGCAGTAAGAAGCCGACTTCTTTCAAGGGGAACTACTCCATTTCGAGTTTCTCACAGACGTGTTGACTTCCCTAACGTTCATCCCAGTTTCGCGTTTTCTTTCCCGTGATGTTTAAGAAAAATGCGCTTTCATTGCCACCGGAAGCCTCTATCAATGAGAAAAAACGGAACCAAGTCACATTCCCGCGGCTGTGTGGTAGATGTGATCTTGAAGCGGACTTAAACACAAATCAGTTTTAAAACTAAATAGCAATAAATTCATCCACTGCAAAACTGAATTCCAAAGATGGACAATGTGCCACGTTCCGAACACCCATCAGCGGGTAACACACAACGGCGAAGGAGAAAGGACCATTTGAAAAACTTACTGCGCCAGTTTGGTTTGTACGATTCGAGCGAATTCAACTAATTCCTCAGCCAAATGCATTCCACACACTATATGGACCGAAGCGGGCCGACCGCTATGGTCCATAGAGTTATCTTCAGCCGCCTGTAACATTCGACTTTCATCCAAAGAACGCAAAAGCCTCTCAGCGCACGCTTCGACCTCGTTGTTGTCATCCGCCAACATGCAGTGGAAACGTGAAGAATCTGTAGTCGTACCAACGCCCTCATCACTTAGCACACCTGGTCGTTCACCGACATACCACCGACGATTTGACTCCATCTGGTCATCATTCTGCAGACTATCACTGAGCTCTGGATCCACAATTGACGTTCTGGATGGCAACCGAATGCGCAACCAGCAATTCAATTCTGTAAGTGGCACAAAAGCGTCGGAAACTGGAAATAGGTCGGACGAGGGTAGGATGGACCACAGTTCACGCAATCGTTTGATCGAGTCCAGTTTGGTCTGCAGGCGGGAAACCGACAAGAGGGGCGCCTCTGAAGTGAAGCGAGAGATCACGTACTGGAACACTGAGCACCCCTCCGGCATTAAGCTCTCCTGCTCTGAGTAGGCCGGTAAGGTAAGCGAACGCCAGCGTGCGTCGGACAGCGGACGCTCGTTCATCAGTCGACTGGTGAAACGCAGGAAGGCACAGGAAAGCTCCGTTCGAAGCCTTTCTTCTTCGACTAGACGGATGACACACTTCGCAGCTTGTTCCTTTTTGAAACAACAGGTACAGTAAATACGATATGGACAAGTTGTATGAATTCCAAAATACTGCTAAAACAACGCAGACCAATTAAGACGTATTTATATTCTTCTGCCTACCTCTTGATAGTCCGTTCCTGACGATAATAAAAACGAAGCATAAGTCGAGAACCTAAGGCCCAATCAATTAATCAATCAATCAATCGTTCATCTGTAACACCCGGCCGGTGCCCAGGTGCGACGCCACCTGAAGGAAGCGCGAGGGCTGACATACCGCCAAGTTGCCCAAGCCTAGACAGGGGAAGTCGAGAAGAAGAGGTCGGGTTCGAACTACGGACCTTCCGGTCAGTAACTCTATGCTTTAACCATTAAGCCATCTCGAGCCTTCGCCTCCTTATCATAAGAACAACAACCAGCGAACAAGCCCAATTCCGGGGGTGATCCTTGGGTCAAATACAGTTAGTAACTTTTATGGTGGCTAGTGCTGCCATTCGGACAGTACCACCATTCAATCTGTAGAATTCTTAGGTTGTTCGATGCTGAAAAGGTTGCCGGGCAACTCAATACTACATGATATGGATACTTGCCCCCAGCCCTCAATCCCTGCTTTCAACATACGCCGTCCAAACAAGAGAAGGAATTTCGACGAACACACTCATCTGCGTACGAATTCGGTTTTGACAGAAGACTCAACTGAATCCAGCTGACAATCATAGACGAGTGATTTCAGCGGGATTCAGTTGAGCCTTATGCATATGAGAAATCTGCCCAAATTCGGTAGAACATAAAGTTGACAGAAACTAAGGGGCTTCGCCCACGTGACGAGCCCCAACAAGGCCACAACCAGTCGTAGGCTGTCGAAGAGTTTTCAGAAACCTTATGAGTAGCGTGTTACGTTTGGACAACAAGAGAAGGAATTTTTATTCGTCGCTGCCATCGGATTTTTAAACTGTACTGTTTTACTACGGATATGGAAAAGCACATGTGTATAAACAACTTGTGTATGAAAACCAAATTAATATAACCTGAGAGGAGAATAAGAATGTCAGTTTGGTCCCCCACTATCTAAGCCTGCCAGCTCTTGTGGTCTTGTTTCAGGCCAAGGCCCGGTGCCCCGAACCAGTGAATCGACAAACCTACATATCTAGAATTACCAATCATTTCACTGTTCTCGTTCTGAAAGTTAGTTATTCACCCAAAACCACGTTTCTTTACCAACTGTCCATGACCAGTGTCCTTTCTTTCTTTGGTCAGATAGCTTTTGTCCGAAAGAACGAATACACTTTATTGCTACTGTTATCGCACTCGCAACGACAATGATGCGCCTGAATTCTTTTCCCCCGAATAAGAACTGTGAACAGTACACTCTCCATCCCGACTACACTGCCGAACTCTGTATTCGTCGCGAATTCGATATTCATAATTCCGAATGGCATGGTTCATCAACGGCTGTTTTTCCAAACACGTGCCCTTTCTTAATCGCAGAAACCCTGGACCTCCCACTCATGTCTAATCCATGGAGTGTCGACTTTTGTCTCAACTTGGGTAATTTGATCACGTCCCCCATCGCATTTTCCAACCTAACTTTGACCATGCAATTTTCTCTACCTCCTCTCTTGAAGAGTTTATAATCAGCGCTTTCGAGAAACCACGGCCTCACCTCAAAGACAGTCCAACCCCCAGAATGGATCCAATCCTTCTTCTTTGGTGGTGAATACTCTCGGGGTAATTATTGTATCTGGTTTGTAGCGTGATGATTTAAGGTAGTATCGTGTACACAAATTCAAAAAGATAGACAAAAAGGTCAAAACCATCGCGGGAAGCCGAAGGTAAGCCACCTCACCTGATATCCCATCCAGTAAACCCGGGCAATCTCACCTACGCCCACGAAGCAGAGGTCCGCCGGGGAGAGCTGCACGGGGGATCGCGTGGTGTCATTCGGATCCCAGACTGACAAGCCGGAGGGGGTTAACTGAGCGACAACTTGTTTGACACCATCCATTGTGTACACAATAACGACCGGGTTACGATCAGTTCGGGCTCTTTGAGATTCATTGCTAGCCACGGAATCAACACTATCCGCGCACAGGGAACAAAGGTATGGGAAGAAAACGTGAGTGTGAACTGAGAAAGATGGAGAGGCGTTCGCTCACAGCTATCGACTACGAAGATGACATGACAATCCCTAGATCTGATGCCGCCAAAATGCAAAACGTACTGAGTAACATAAATAATCCTGCTTCACCTCACATTTGCAAAGTATACAGTTTTGCTATAAGATTGAGTAGGATGAAACCCGAAATTTACGTTTGCATATCAACCGACTGAAGTGGCGTACAAATGTGTCTACCTGGGCAGCCATATCAGTCCCGGTAGTCTAGCTAAAGAGGTGTCTTCCATCCGGACTGGGAAGGCCAGAGATGCTTTTGTGAGCCTGCAACACCTGTGGCGTATCAAGGGTCGAGGTTACAGTGCTGTGGATCAACAACCTGGCCGCTGAGCGCCGAGGATGGTGCTTGACCTCGGAGCATGAAGTCTTGCGATGTTCAGACTTGAGCGGAAGAAGTCAAAAGACGGAAAATGTTCTGTTATAACAATCCCTCATTCACGCCATAAGATACACACCTGCAAGTACAATAAACCTCCGTCGAAGGACCCACTCCAACACAACAGTATGGTTGTGCACGGCGCAATCATCAAGCTATTCATCCCTCCATGGTGCGGTCACCAGTGCCGCAGTAGAGAGGGAGTACCGCAAAGGGAAGAAGTTAATGTCAAGCAACTAATCCGAAAAATCAGTGAGGAAAGCACGTGACCTATTCTTCATAGATAAGTCTCTGTTCCAACCTCCATCAAAACGTCCACATGGCCTGTACAACTGAGGTCTATTACACAAACAAGCAAGCGTAATTCGGGGGGACTAATTTTTGGAGCAGCAACGCAAGAAAATGATCGAATCGCCGAGGATGTAACAAAGTTGGAAACATACCTCACGTTGCTGGCCCGTAACTTCGTGGAGGCTTTCGTCACGTCATGTATTGCGCTGTGACTCAACTCTGCGATCGACTGGGAGGCACTCACTCCACCGCCTGAAGCTGTGCTGGGAGGCAACATATCGTTCGCCGGTGTGAGTGTGATCAGGCCCCGTTGGCAAGTGACATAGACAAACAGATTCGAAGAGTCCACGCTACCACAGCCGATAAGTGCCGATGGACAGATAGGCGGTGCCGGTGTAGTTCCCAATGCTCCAAATTCCATTCGAGCAATCGAATGACCCGTGAGAACTTTGAAAGGGTAGAGAAGGAAACAGGGGTCATTGAATAATGTTGGCAGTAGCTTGGGACAAACTGGGGGAGGGCTACGGGAAAATTCCGTGATCACCTGTCTGCCACTATCATCGGGCTGCGAGGCATGAGTAAAATCCCAGGGCGGTTAGGTTTAGCCGAATGTTTTAGGACATGGAATCGCCCTGTTTCGCAAAGGACCCAATCGGAGCATGACAACACATCTTATTCGAAAATGGCAAATGGAACAGTTATACTGACAGCAGATGCTTCAGGTTATCCAGTAACCTGTACTACTCACAAGCCACATTGACAATACAACCTAGCAAAGCTGATATGACCAAGACGGGATGCAAACGGAGTTTGTTGAGTTCCCCTCTACTCACCTTCAATAATGGTCACTTGCCCGGTGAAGGGGGAAAACAGACAAGCTAAAAGACATGGATACAGTGGATTTCCACTGAAATCCGGTGCTAAGCTCGCAGGAAGACATAGATGGATCATCTTGTGCCGAAATGACGTCGATCGCATGGCTGAGAGTTCGAACGGCCAATCAACCTGTACGGCTGCAGTGGGGATTACTTGAAGTACCTGACCCTCGGGCTGATCCTCATTCCCCACATCCAAGGTGACCAGATGAAAGAGACCGACACCCGATGGTCCTGAGGCCGCGTTACTCACGAGAAGATAGAGGAGATCATCGGAAAGGTTCGATTCCGTCGAATGCTGAACAGCCATGTCAACCGCATGCCATTGACCGAGTAATGAGTCATGGATTGAGGATTGTAACAACGACTGAATCGAGTAGACACCGAGCATCTGTGAACAGAATATAAAGAACACGAAAGAGAAACCATACTCGAAATGCAAAACACGCTTTTTGTGGAGACTGCATCGTTTGCGTTAGGGGAATTAACCAAGCTTCACATTCTGAATGATTATCGACTAACCCCAGGACGTCTGATTTTACGATTGGGATTACACATCATGCAGCCAAACCGAACTAGTTCACTGGATATCAACCTCGTTGGGGCGAGATGGCCCAAGTCGTTAGAGCGCGAATTTACTGACCGGAAGGTCCGTGCTTCGAATGCGACCTCCGTCTCTCGACTTCCCCTGTCTAGGCTTGGGCAACCTGGCAGTATCCCGGCCCTCATGCCTCATCTGGGTGGCATAGCAGCTTGGCACCGGAAGGGTGCTACAGCCGAACGCTTTCTTTCTCGTCACTAACAGTAAGTGGGGTTGACAAAATTCTACAGTGCTCACTGCCCTTTGTCAACCTACTTAGAGTCTAAACTTTTTTTTGGTCAGCTCACATTCTCCTGGCTATCATCTCTTTCTCAGTCTGATACCTTCGAGCGGCTCACTTTGATCCTCACACTTCAGAGTCCTACCGACAACAACTACAAAACTTGGCTTTGTAGATCAGGTGAGAAGTCGCACAGGATTTCATCAGCCTGTACCTGACGACTCAACAAGTTGTATCCTGAGTTCAGGTGAGTGATACTCAGCACCATTGGAAATGCGCCCCGGTTGAATCCTTGCTCACGGCCTAAATTTAGTATCACTTCCAAATTGCTTTGAATTGCCCGAAATACGGCAAACAAGAAGGGCATAGGCACTTCAAGCACGTCTGCAGCAAGATGAGGCTTGTCGTACAAGGATCAAACTGTGGACGGTAAGTTGTGAACAATAATAATAAATAATAATCGCTCAGCTGTAGTACCCTTTCGGTGCCTAGCTGCTATGCCACACGAAGGAGGCACGAGGGATGTGATACTGCCAGGTCACCCACGCCTAGACAGGGGAAGTAGAGTGGCAGAGGTCGGGTTCGAACCACGGACCTTCCGGTCAGTAAATTCGCGCTCTAACCACTTGAGCCATCTCTACCCCAGAGAACTTCGTCCCAAAGAACTTCATGACCTATTTATCAGGCTGCTTGACATGACGTAGGAACCGTAAAACCGACTGATAAAAAAGTTGGACTGCATGTGCAAAAAGAGATTTGGCACAAACGAGTAAAAACTCCGGTTGCCAACCAGAAAAAAAAGCTCTTGAAGTTTGTGCAACTTTGCATGCCGGATCATGTTCTCATCATCGCTTTTATCGGCATCGTGCCATGGGTTTTCCGTATCCCCGTATCTCGCTTGTCTGACATTTTTATTATTTATTTATTTGTTTGTTTGTTTATCCCCCCGATGGGAATGACCGGGAAGCGGCATATACAGAGCTGCCCCAAAGACAGAATAAGTAAAGGACTGCGGCGTTCACTCCATGGAGTTTTGAACGATAAAAAATATTATACAGCCAGGTCTTCCAACCGTTGTCCACTCGAAAAGGACGGAAGAGTTTGGAAAAGAGGAAGGTAACTTTTGGATGGCAAAAAACCCCAGTGAACTGGATGAAACCGCAACATGAGACCGGGCAGGATAGCCCCAGGATGTGACGCAGCGAAACCAGGTATTAGAACGCCGTACCAAAAAAGGACACCCGTGAAAAGAGGACACCAACTCGGAGTCCACAACACCGTTCTCGGTCAGCTATGATTTAGTGTGTGGACCCCAAGAAGAACCTGCATGTTCCCTTCTTCAATTTTGGTGGTTTGCTCGTAACACCTGTTCTATTTCAGCGGAAAGGACACTGGTCGGTGCTGTGGGCGATTACCCCTAGACAAAGTACACTAAAAGGGTTCTGTTTCGCGTGACCAAAATAACTTGTCACATGAAAAAACCATCTCGTCATCCCACTGGACATTGTTGTTTTGCAATCTGCTGCAATAACGAACTAACTTGCATACATTTGATGTTAGCTCAAGAAACTATCGACAGAACTGACCCGGTGATCCTCAAGCAGGGATCAAGACTTAAATCAAGGCCCAGCAGCCACTGATGCGGCTAAGCCTATGTGTTGGCTAGTTGGGGAAAAACAACTCGATAAGTCAACGGGTATGTTTGTAAAAGCAGAACCAAACTGGTACCCATCCGGTAAGAGGGACCCACGAATTGACAGCACATTGTGAATACAATCAGCCCCATCACAGTCATGTGCGGAGTAGTGGAAACTGATGCTTAATTACCGTAGAACCCCAGAAGGGACCCAAGCAAGAAGGGAAGGGATGGAAAATAACTGGAAGCCGGCCAAGAGCAAGGCGCCTACACCATCAATAAAATAACAATCGTTCACCTGTAACACCCTTCGGTGCCTAGCTGCAAAAGAAGCTCAAAAGCTGAAATACTGTCAAGGTGCCCGAGTTTATATAGGAGTAGTCAAGATGGCTGGTTGGGTTCGAACCACGGATCTGCCAGTCAATGAGTTCGCGCCCTAAAATCAGAGCTACTTCCATCACGCGAAACATACTTGGAACCGATTGGGTAGTCATCGTTTTCGAAAAGCGAAACGTTACCCAGCAATATGTCTACCGATTGTCACCAAACTTTTTCGAAAACGAAGAGCTACTTCCAATTTATCGAAATAAATACATCTTGAACCCCGATGTCATTAGAGGGATTTGTGAAGCAAGAAACGGCAGACAAACTCCACCAGGAAGTATCAGCTACTGGGATCGGTTATCAATCAAGTTCGGTAGTGCTTCCAAGCACAAATAAAGTGGATAGCGTGGATGTCGCCTAAGAGGGCCCACGGGTGTCTCAGTGCAGCTGAGAGTCTAGTGGGTGGTGAATTTACCAGATGAAAAACAGGTGAAAAAACAGGTCAAGTTACATAAACAAAAAGCCAATGACAAGAAAGGCCTACCCGCTCATCCAAATTTTGGTCAATACTCCACACATCCAACTGACTCTCCATCAGCATGTAAACGCGGCATGCCGCATCGTCCATCGAAGTACCCCCTATTGGCCGCGTAACCAAACGGACAAACACCTGAAGAACAAACCAAGGATCGGGACTTTGAAGTGGAAAAGGGCATGACGGTAGTACAACCTCAGTCACGACAAGACCGCAGAGAACCTACCATATTTCCTCCGCCTCGAGCTGGGTTAAGCCGCATCCCAAAGCCACCGGACGAGGCGACTAGGCCGAACAAGTTCGATACCCGTCGGCTTAAACCAGAGAGAAGACTTGCAGACCCGTGTGTGCCAGCACCTGGGTCAGTTTTGGTCCGTCCAGTTAGTAGCCGACACCGGACACCATCCTAGCAGCAGAGTGAATGAACCAGTGTATGATTAGACAATGCATATCCAGGGTTGAATAATGAAAGCAAGTACTGATGTGGCTTACGGGAGCATTTCTCGGGTCCACCAATATCAAATGTCCAGTCCGGGTAGCTAGGACAAACGTTCCGTGCTGAAAGAGCGAAAGGACGCTAAAGGAAGTCTATAGCGAACACCTTTAGAGTAAATCTGATAACTAATAAAAATAATCTACCCACATACACATTCCCCACCATCATCCATTAGGAAAAAGATTACTACGGCACAACGACTCTCCGCCAGGGCCGCAAACTTGAAAACCAATGCAAGCCAAATGTCGCAGCGCGGAAGGATCAAAGAAATTCACAATCTGCAACTCACTACTGACGTTGGCTCAAGCTGGATCGCTTCATCTCCATACAGTCCGGTAGTTGAGGCAGACAAATTGACATCCACATGCAGCGAGTTTCGTGCAAGCCGTGGCCAGATCCGCAAAATCTCTCCACAGGAGCTCAAAGCCAAACACCCCGTGGGATGGCTGCCAGAGCGAAGACCGATTGGGGAAGGAAATATCGGGGCAACCAGCAAGGCACTGTGAGGCATGTCGCTTGCAGGCAAGGTAAAAGTGAGGCATGTTGAGTGGGACTACAAGCAGGAAGTGAAACAGAATGGAATTAAAGCAAAGTCACGTGTACAACGTCAAAACATCTGCCTTGAATTTCAACTAGATATACAGCAGAACGGATTCGCTCAATGGGGTGAACATCTTACGAGCGATTTGGCGCCAGCCTGAGGAGAAACTGTGATTTCCAAAAGGCCTAAGGTTTTTTGTAAGATTCGATTGTGTTCAATCATGAAATCATCCCCGAGTAAAGCGGGGTTCATAATGGGCATAAGAATGGAAACTAATAAACGTAAATTATCCGGCGAAGTCCCGACTACTTGTGAGTGCCACTTGTTTTTAAGACCCTCGGCAAAAGATGCAGCACTCCCATATATGCTGTATAGGTCGGTAAGGGCTGAACAGTACTGTTATCAACAGAATACCGGATTCTTATGTACAACGTGGTAAATAAGTGCTTCAAAGTGAGCACCACACTGGCACATGGCCAACACATCATTGTTTGCTTACGTTCATGTAATCCTGTGTCTTGGATGTGAATGGAAGCGGAGATCCTGTCAATTGCCTAGTAAACGTTCCGGAGACGGTTAATCGTGCACCCCCTTTGTTGCGCACGCATATTGCAGTAGATTAGGCAGCAAAAGCTACAAAAACCATATCGGCATCAATCAGCGCATATCGCGTAATTTGCTACGTCCGAATTTACTATATTCTAGATCGTCGTTCCGGCTATATGAGTACATGAGCGAGTACCAACACGTTGCAGAATACTAATAACCTCGTTACGTCGAGATTTATTCATACCAACCAACATTAATCTAGCAGGGTTCGGAAACACTTGGTCAACATATCAAGATTACTGGACACATGCAGTGGAAAATAAGGGTGCGGAAACAGCTGAAAGACTTACTTGTGATTGAGGTGAACTTGGATACTTCCATAGAAACAATTCGCTCCCCGCGACGATAACGAGCCACCCACCGGACAAAAAGCGGACACTTGCAGCTTCAAGGCAAAGGGTTGGCTAGTGAACAAGGAGTACAACTCACTAGAACATGTTCTAAGGGCCTCCGAGGCGAAAACGGGCAAACTGGTACAAAGCCTGGAGACTTGTAGCATACGTGAGGGCTCCAAGTCAACAGTGACACAACCATGAAGCAACCGATGTGTATCCTGCTTCATCATTCTTCAGCCGACTAAAACAAGATGGAAAATCACAGTCTACTTGACAATTAGAAGACAGAACAGTATGAGCAGTGGATTCGTTATGCGTAACTTTTTAACCTTCGTAATGCATCTATAGCCTCAGCTCTCTTGATCCTAGGTACCTTTTACTGTGGGCACACGAGAGCTGCCTAGCCTGAAGTGTGTATTTGTTTCACAAACATTGCGGGTAACGAAGCCGATGAACTCATCTCAAACACCATCTTCTCGAAGCTCAGTGCATGGAGTGTGCCGACGAATAGTACTCATAGTTGTCAGGCATTCATGCTGCAACCCAGCCGTCGCTGGCTTCGGCACATGTTCACGTTTAGATTGTAGACTTTTGAAACGCTACCAAGAGAGTACCATTAAATTCAAGATCGAGAGTGGATTTTAGGAAACGTCTGCATTCCGTGATAATTAATCCTTACTCACAGTCCACCCACAAAAGTAGAAAACTGCAACTGCATGTTCCGCACTAATAAGGGGATGAGGGTCTACTGGCCATCTAAGGGACTTGGTTAAACTCTGACTTCAAACGAACACCGACCAGCGTCTGGAGGCAGCTCTGGCGGAATTAAAGGGTGCGATCATATGAACCCCACTACAATAATGAGTTATCCCCAACGATCATTCATCTTATTTCCACTGTCCTGCAAACTACACTTGGTTGTGAATTTTTGAGATGAGGCCTGCAACAGAGGCTATGCAGCGCTGGGTACATTGACTTTATAAAAATCCCATATGGGTGAACGGACGTCTCAAATGCACAATTCCGTTTATGCATCCGTTGTTACTACAGCGCCCCTTGCAGGTCATACAAAGGCGATCAACGAGCAAGTTAGCTCGTTAAGGCGCGAAGGTTAACTAATCACTAGATTCTAGAATATTTGGGATTTCTAGAGGGTCAGGAGCCATAGCATCACAATGTAGTTCCTAGAATTATCAAGTAATACTGAGTCGAAAGGGCTCCCTATCTGATTATGCGGCACTGAACTGGCACTATGCACTAACTTTGAAACAACTAGAATTCCGAGGTCTCTCACCCGGTGCACGTTAGGCAGCTCGTTTTAGGACTGACCGCTTTCTTTAAATGTGTTATCAAGCTTGTCCACTAGACCACGGTATTTCTGTAAATTAGAGCACAAATCCCATCCTAAAGTCGGTACCCTTGATCGTTTTTCCGATGATTTCCCAACAATCATACATCATCCGCATGGACAGTTTAAGTTACGTATAAAATCGGAGACAGGAGCAGACCAGTACAAGGATCCTTGAGGCCCGACCCTACACGCCTACCCCACTCTTGGATTGGTCTCTTCCTCTATCATCAGCATCATCGATGGCATGACATTAGTGTTCCACGTTGATACTTCGCTGTCGTACAACGATGATTTACTTGAAAGCCCTATTGTGAAGAAAATAATAAGGTGGATAGATAATGAACTTATCAGTAGCTTACTACGATCATTTGGAGATGCCTACACCTCCAGACACTCATTCAGACAATCTGGATAGTAACTGACAACATGAACGCCATTGACATCGATTAGCGGTCATATATTGCAGCGTCTCCAACTAGGCGCGGTGGAGACCATGTCGTCCCCATCCTGGAAGGCGATTCGGACCAACAGCATCTCTCTCATCTCTTTCATACACCTCTGCCAGCCCTAGAGTTCGCCACCTCTCTGCTCCAGCCATTCTGAATTCGGAACAGAAAAAAGCACTCTCTTCAGCAAATGATGGTTCGGCATACAATGTACATGGTGCTGAACACATTTTGCACATTTGCACAACCGAAAACTCGATCTTTCTCGTTACAGATTCTCCGACACCAACCAACACGAGTCATGGTTCTGGAACAACGATTGTCGAACACCTGAAGACGTCTCAGTTCCGCAGCTCGAACAAACCAAGTCTCACAGCCATACAACAAAACAGCCCACTATCTATCCTGATACACGCGTCCTTTGAGATTTATTGATACACCTCTTTGACACCATGAATCTCAAATTAGCAAACGCGACCCGGACCTTGCAGATTCGTGCATTGACCTCATCCGTCACACTACAGTCAGAATCAATACGACTTCCAACAAACGTAAAACGCTCCACAACTTCCAGTGCCTCTCCCTGGATTGTAAGTGGTGCGTTCAGAGACTGCATATTCAGGAGCGTGACCTTACACTTTGTGGGTACAAAGTGCATACCAAAGGGCGGGATAACTTTGGTTAGTTCATCAAAAAAC